TTTTAAAAATAACTTTGCTAATCCATGAGTGACTGAACCTAGCTAGATCACATTATTTACGGACAAACCAATCAACATGACAGCCCATCAACAAATTACAATCTTAAGCAAGAAGAGAAAATGGTACATCATCATCACCTTATATATGAGGATTAAACGAAAGGAAAACTAAAAGAAGAAATCAAAGAACAATAGGAAGAAATATATGCATCATTAATTCTTGATACTTTGGGGATCATATCAACATTGTAGTCTCTACTGAATTGCTTCCAAAGCTAAAATCTGAAGAGAAGCATGAAAGAAGAAAAGTATGTCATACTGTGTAGCAGAGTAGGTTAGATTTGTTAGACAATAACCTTACCATAAGGAAGCTACAATTTATATGTTATCCACTCAAAAACAATTTCTAAGAGAGGTGGACTCTCCTCCATAGTAGTCATTCCTATCCATATGCAGTACCTGTTTCAGGTAAATACCATATTAACATCAGCTAGCAACAAAAGTTACCTAAACATTCTTAACAGTGAATGATCTAACTGTAACAACAATAGTTAATCTCTGTTGCAAATTGACAAAATGCAAACGGCTAGAGTCTATTAAAAATAAAAAATAAAAGTTCAAATTTGTATGTTGAGGACCAACAAAATAAACCATTTACATAAGCTTTACCTTGAGACCATCCACTAAGAGGAGGCCGCTGAGAATGCATTCTTTGAGGCCCGTTCCGAGCACTATGACGTTGTATTCTTCGTCCATGGCTCTGAGAGGCAGAGAGATCAGAGGGAAAACAGAGTGTTTGTTTTGTGTTTGTGTTTTTGTCTGTGTGAGAAAAATTGGAGTCCCTGGAGTTTCGGTTAAAACTGTTATTAGCCAACCACCGTCGCAGAAGAGCCAACTTTGGGGAGAAGATTCTAAGTTCTAACAGGTTACTCAATAGGATTGATAAGGGCAATGAAAAACTTATCTACATCATGGATGTCATTGTGGTGGTATTTCAAATCAATCACGCATTGTTATGTGTTTTAGTTTCCTCAAATAACAATGCGTAATTGGCTTGAGATACCACTACATTGACATTCCTGTGTTATAGAACTTCTCATGGAAAGCAATTAAGATTATGTATTATTTATTTAGCCAATCTGAAAGTAAAAAATCAGACCCCAAATATAAAAGAATCCATGGTCCAAATCTTAAAAGCTAATCATCGACATACATCTGCCAATTGCTGAAGTGACAGATGCAAACTCGAATTTTATTACATGCAAATTAAAACACACACAAAAACATCAACTGCAATTTTATGAACATCAACTTGGGTATTATTAGATTTTCAAAAAAAGCAAATAAGAAGCCAATCTAGATCAGTCTTGGGGTCAAAACAAGACGAACAAGTTCTTCCTACCCACAAACTCATGGGTAAAATCTTCAATCCCAGAACTTGTTTCTGCAAAATATATAAAAAGACAAAAGCAATATTGTAATTAACAGAGATATGAACGAGAACAATTTCTTGAACACAAGTGAAATATATTCCAAATCATTTAGGAAAGTCAATGAAAGGATAAAAGATACTTACGTATATTTCTTACATCTCTCGTCGATGAGTAGCATCCTTGGATGATCCACACCTCCTTCTTCTACGGACTCTCTAAACTTTTCTGAAACATCATCAAATCTGTATCCTTGTAGTTTAGCAAGGTCCTCAATACCCTGTGGCAATGTTTCTAATGTCAAGCAACTAACAATGCTTAAGAACTCGAGATTTGGCATCGCCCCTTTTTCTATAGTTATCTTACTTAATAATGCGAGATCCCAAAACCACAATTGCTGAAGCTTCACAAAGCCTCTGTTGAAACATAACTCTTTCCTAACAGAGGCATTATCAAGCCAAAGAGAACTTAGAGAGGGCAATGCTTCAATATGAGGTAGTAAATCTTCTTCAAGTCTGGACCCACGCAGATTCAAATCTATGAGAGAGTGGAGTGAACAAAACCAATGTGGTACCTTTTCCAGTTTGCCGACCAATTTAAGTCTATCAAGGTAGGGACACGGTGAAGACAATGCCTCAACTCGAAGAAATTCCTCTCCATCTGCTACAACTAAAGTCAAGTGGGAAAGGACCTTCATCTTTTGAATTGAGGCACATAGGTCCTCCTCGTCTCTTTCTTTTACATTTGTAATGCCAAGGCTCGTAAGCTGGGTCATACTTCCAATAAGTCTAATAATGTTTCCTTCTGATTCAATATACGCCAAAGATTGCAATTTCTTCATCTTACCAATACTTGATGGTGTTTTTACCCCAATTATCTCCAAACCATCATAGTCAGGCCTCATAAGTAAATGGCGTAAGTTTAGCAACTTGGAAATTCCTCTTGGAAGTGCCTCTATTTTTGTCCCCGTGATGTTCAAGGTCTGAAGGTTGCGGAGCTGTCCAATGGATTCTGGAAGCTCCTTAATTAGAGTTCTCAACAAATTTAAATATTTTTAATTGAATAAGCACGTTACTCTGTCTGGCAGATTATCTATTGGGACATACTGCAAATCTAGAACCTTCAACAGTTTAAGGTCAAAAGGTAATTTATTTGAGAAAGAGAATGAGGATACGCCAGTGGCAAAGACAAGAAACGAACGGAGTCGTGATATACCTGTGCATGATCCAATTTCTCCATTAGTTGTTTGAATTGACAAACGGAGTGCCCCAGTTTCTTCTACTGTTTCACTCCCATCATGTACACCGCAAAACTTTTCTTCTTTTGCTATAAATAGAGCAATCTCCCGCAAAAGATCATGCATCTTACATGCTGGGTTGAGTACTACAAACCTTTCCTGTAGCATGTTACGAAAAATGAGTTCCATAAGATAGCTCTTTGCAACTTCTTATGGTGTGACCCCTTTGACATGTTCAACAAATCCTTCAGCGACCCACAATCTAATGAGCCTTTTATTTATGATCACATGATCTTCTGGGAAAAGGGAACAATATAGAAAGCATTGCTTCAATCTGTATGGCAAATCATTGAAACTAAGCAACAAGATGCTCTTCATAGGTTCTAACAAAGAATTGTTTCTTAGATGCCAATTTAAGCTATTGTAGACTTTGCTCCAATCACTAAGTGACTTCTTCGAAGACATGAGACCACTTAAGGCTACGATCGCGAGTGGTAGGCCTTCACACTTTTCCACAAGTTCCCGAGCTAATGGCAGAAGTTCAGGTGAACAAGATTTGTTCTGATAACTTGAGAATGCTTTCATGCTGAAGAGCTCCCACGCATAACCCATTTCCAGCGGTTGAATCTTGTGAACATGGCTTTCAACTCCAAAAGAAGAGGATGCTATGTCTTCTCTTCGAGTTGTAAGCATGACTCGACTTCCAAGTTGGTTATCTGGAAATGAAAACCTTATTTTGTCCCAAAGGTGGACATCCCACACGTCATCCAATACAACTAGGTACCTTTTAGTCTCCAAGTAGTTCACCAAAATCTCCAGCAATTCGTTATAACTCATGGCATTCATGTCTGCAGGGACCACTTCCTTATTTGCTTTGTGGAATTCTTTGATCAATCTTCTAAGTAAGTCTTCAATCACATAAGACTGGGAAACAGTAATCCACGCAGAGCATTCGAAATGTCTCTTTACAATGTCATCTTTGAAGGTTTTTGCAACTAGAGTTGTCTTCCCTGATCCTCCCATCCCTACCACGGACACAACAGTTTAGTGCTTCGCTTCATCCATCAGCCATCCCAGTAACATGTTCTTATCGCCTTCAATCCCGACAAGTTCATCCTCCTGCTGATAAAGAGAAGACTCCGCTTGGTTCTGCACCCATCTCCGAATCTCCTCAGAAGTACTTTTTCCTTCTACAGCTGCAGCACCACCATATCTCTGATTTCTCTCTGTAATAGCTCTAATTGCCACGGAAATTTTCTGTAACTTGTTAGCTATTTGACGTTTATACCAAAGTTTCTTCGGAAAGTGAATGGCGTTGTTGATCCATCTTGCAAATCGACCGCCGATTTGCTGCTCGTACATGTGATACATGAATTCCTCTAAGAAGGATTTCATGAATACTAGCTCCTGCTTAATCTCATCAACTTGATCTCGAACACCCGCTATGGAGCCGGCTTCACTCTCAAGAATGGCTACAAATTTGCCAATGAATAAGTCTGCTGAAACTGACACCATAATGGCCTTATTTTGGTATAAGCTTAATCAAAAAAGCACATCGAACACATCTAGGGAAGGGAGCAATCAATCTGTTAAAATGTAAGGCTCATTTGTTATACAAAATTTTAGGAAAACTGGAAGTGTAAAAGATGGATGAGGGATGTCTGCTTGATTAGCAAGATGAGCCAAATATTCTTTAACTATGCTACAAGCCTACAACTACTCAACTTTTATTATTGCTCAAGACTATTTGTCTGGTTGTTGAGTGCTGCTCGAAAAAGTATAGATTCCATCTTCTTCTCTTTTTTATAAGAGAAAAATGGAAAAAGTAGATTCCATCTCACTATGGTTCTGTTCCTGCTGAAACCGAAACCGAAAATTTTAGAAAAATAAAGGAGAAGAAAATCTATCAACTTGATCTCGAACACCCGCTATGGACGCAGCTTCACTCTCAAGAATGGCTACAAATTTGCCAATGAATAAGTCTGCTGAAACTGACACCATAATGGCCTTATTTTGGTATAAGCTTAATCAAAAAAGCACATCGAACACATCTAGGGAAGGGAGCAATCAATCTGTTAAAATGTAAGGCTCATTTGTTATACAAAATTTTAGGAAAATTGGAAGTGTAAAAGATGGATGAGGGATGTCTGCTTGATTAGCAAGATGAGCCAAATATTCTTTAACTATGCTACAAGCCTACAACTGCTCAACTTTTATTATTGCTCAAGACTATTTGTCTGGTTGTTGAGTGCTGCTCGAAAAAGTATAGATTCCATCTTCATCTCTTTTTTATAAGAGAAAAATGGAAAAAGTAGATTCCATCTCGCTATGGTTCTGTTCTTGCTGAAACCGAAACCGAAAATTTTAGAAAAATAAAGGAGAAGAAAATCTGAGGAAGAAAAAGAGACTTAGCAGAGAAAAACAGAAAAGCAGAGAGACAGAGAGAACAGAGGAGATAATCGGAGAGAGAAATAAAAGAGAGAAAAGGAAGAAGAAGAGAGGGAGAGAAAGGAAAAGGAAGAAGAATAAAGAGACGGAGAGAAAGAAAAAGGAAGGAGTCCGGATCTGCTGTGGTTCTATCCTTGGTGTCCCTTTACTATTTATTTGACACGTGTCCATCCACAAACAGAAAATTAAGTTCTATTTTTTCACTAATACTAGGGAAATACCCACCACCAACGCTCTGCGAAGCCAACAGAGAAGTTTTTTTCTTACACGATAACAAATGCCAAAGTTAGGGGGTGTATTCAATTGAGATTTTAAAAGATTATTTTGGGATAATCAAAATCTTGTGGTATTCAATCAAGACTTTAAACAAGTAACAAAAAGTCTTATGGTATTCAAAAACTTGTTAATTTCGAAGGATTTTTTCAAATGCGACATTGTGTGAGGCTTTTTAGTGAGATGTATAAATATCAAACCCTATCTCAAATCCCACCCTAACCCATGAGACTTTTTTTAACGTGAGATTGTTTTTTGTGCTCATCCACTTCGCCTTCTCTCAAAGCCAACTTCAACAGCCAAAGCTTCAACGCCACAAGCCATCTCTGCAACTCTACCTTAGTCAAGCATGCTTCACCACCAACAGCCAAAGCTTCTATGACTTTTGTGCTATGCATGTATCTAGCATGCTTGATTGGTACTTCGGTGGTAATAGATTATGCTAATGAGATAGAACAAAGAGCTCTCTTTTTTTTTATTTTTTTTATTTATAATCAATTCTCCCTTACTCAAGGATTTACCGATTTTGTTCAAATTTTGAACCATCGTGTATGAATTTTGTCAATCAACTGAACTAGAGAACCTTCCTCTACTTTCCTTTGATTCCCAGCAGAGAAAAGAAATGGCATATAGCTTCCAACTTATTAATTGAGGATTAACTCCAAACAATACCATACTTTGAAAAAGAAGTTGGTAGGGGATAGAAGAGAAAATACTCACACACACAAAAAAAAAAAAACATAGGTCAGAAACTCCACTTGCATAGAACCACATGATATCTCATAACAGTTTAACAGTTCATAAGGTAACACAAATTTTTAAAAACCAAGCAAGTTCCTTTTATACTATTTGACTGGAGTTACCATCTATGGAGCAGGCCAGCGTCAAGATGGTAAAACTAGCAGCCTCCCCTGTTCTTGGATCACTATATTTGTCGGGCAAGGTATTTAAAAAAGTTTCAAATTTTGGTTTGGGCTATGGCCCTATTTAGTCAAACCCATATATAAATCCTATGATATAAATCGATGTGGTCCTTTCAAATCTTATAAGTCTTATGATATAATCTTTAAAATCCAAAAGTTAAAAATCTTGATTATACAAAATTATCAATAAAATCCTATAAGTCATTACATTCTGATTAAATCCGCTGGATTTTTTATATCCTTAAATAGTCTTTTAAAATCTCAATTGAATACACCCCCCTTAGTTTGTTGTTGTTAGGACCAATTTTTGGTATATTGACAATTTCCTGTTGCAAAAGTACAGATTAGGTCTTTGAGTGTAACTTACAGTCTTTAAGTGATGTTCTACTATCCTGGATCAATGTGGCTCAGAGACAATGCCAAGGTATGTTTTGCATCCGTGCATTCATATTTGCATATTTGAAAGTTCCTCAAAAGTGGCTATAAGATGTATAGAATTGATATATGGTTTCAGTGTTACATAATCCAGTGTCAAACATCAGTGAGTTTTTAACGATGATTTTATACTCTTTAGTTTGACGTTTATTTAAGCAAAAAGGTTCTTTTGTCGTTTCAGCTGGGTTTTTGGTTAAGTGGCGTTATTTGTTTTAAAGAAATCATTTATTTGTTAAAAAGCCCATTTTTGCTAAAAGTTTTTTTGGTCTCTAACCTAGTTTTAAGCGTATAAAATAGGAAAGGAACTTAGGCCTTTTTTTTGGGCTGCAACGTTGAAAAGAAAAGAACGACAAAATATTCTAGCAGAGAGTTTTTTAGAGTTTATATTGAAAACTCATGTGGCTGTTCCTCGTGAGCCTTTATGAGTGATTAAATCATCATCTTTTCATATATGTTGAGTTCATGAGCATTATGCATGTTGGTGATCAGCAATTGTGCCTTGAGGTGTGAGCAGCCGTGACCAGAGTTGTGCCATCTCTTATTGACGAAGGAAGACAAGATTGCTAATTGGGTTGAGTAGCAAAGGCGAGTAGGCAAGTCTGCCTTTTGAGTGTTTGTCACATCCCGGGATCTGCTCCGCTGTAGCGCGATATTGTCCGCTTTGGGCCCCCCATCTCCGCCCTCACGGTTTTGTTTCTGGGAACTCACAGGCAACTTCCTAGTGGGTCATCCATCCTGGAATTGCTTTAGCCCAACTCGCTTAACTTCGGAGTTCCCATGACTCCGAAGCCAGTGAGCTCCCAAAAGGCCTCGTGCTAGATAGAGGTGGGCATGTGCATATAAGGCACATCACCCCCTCTTCGTTGGTCGATATGGGATGTTACAATCCACCCCCCTTAAGGGCCCGACGTCCTCGTCGGCACATGTTCGGTTCATTTTTACACATGATTTTTCATGTTATTCTCCCACTATTTTGAGTTAGTTCTTGACATTTTATAGCTTTTTACTTCTTTTTTGTGTTTTAATAGGTTTTACCTTGGTTTGTATGAAAATGAGCTAAAAGTGCATTATTTGATATAAATTCTGTTTTTGTTCATT